TAAGCACGGAGTCCGGATGTAGAAAGGTGGGTTGGCCCTGTCTATGGACCTAGCAGTGAAACAACCGGTCTGTAGATGTCTGTCTACCTCGTCTTCCATGGGCCCCAATAATGAACGTTTGCTTAAGGGCTCTATTCCAACTGATGCCGCCCAGGCAGAGAGAGTTTCAAGTCTAGAGCATTCACCATAGAGTATTCTCCTGCCTTGTATGCAGCTCAGCGAATAATTAAGGACTTACCCTACAACATTTTATACAGGGCAAAGTTTATTGCCATCAATTCCTGGGAACTTTTCAAACTGTCTTCTCCTTTGGAATCCTATTATGCTAAGGATTATTCTGCTAAGAAACTTTTGAGTAGTGTGGTTCTTGGCGTTCTTCATATTACACAGCGATTTGACCGGTATCAGTAGAATGCAAATGCAGTCTGTGCTTCTTGTTAGCCAGTTTCCCGACCTATTGGAGTGGAGTTGCCGGTTAAATGTGTGTCTTCTGTCAATGCTGTGCAGAGAAAAGAAGGAGCCAAGAGCCCTGCTCTGCTGTACAGGGAGTCATAGGGATTTTCCCACTCTTCTTCAAAGTTGAGGCTAAATCTAATCCAGCATCCACTCCAAAAAGTAGGAAAACGAAATGATGGTCTCCATGATGCTGGGCAGTTGTGTAAAAGAGTAGGTGATTTGTTAATGTCACACAGTCAAATGCTGTCTTGTCATTTTCTCAGATGTCAAAAGTTGCTGTGTTGTCAGGTATCGTCTGAGTGGGAAATGTCAGTGGTGACTATGCCCACTACACATTGGCTTCCTTACATCACCTGAGATTTGGTTTGTTGGAGTGCTTCAGTCCCATTAACAAAGTTGTATTGGAATAAACATCTAGTTCATGTTTACCAGAAAAATGTAGCCACAGAGTGACAGAATGTGTCTCAAGTTCTTTTAATAGATACATTGCTCTCTATGTCAGAAGCTGAGTTAATCTGGACTAAACTATTCAAGAATGATTTTCCAGGTTGCTATTGTGATATCTTGGCCTTCCATCTATAACCTTACACCTGGGTGAACTTGGGTCATGAATGATTACAGCATTAAGAGATTGTCAGGCTCCGGCTATCAAAAGATATAGCG